GTAGCTTGACGACGAGTAACTAACCGTTGTTCATGTGAACTCAAAGACAGTCTGATGCTTTGACTATTTGTGGGTGGCTGTTTGTTGTTTCACCTATCAATTTGTGTCGATAAAGTATAATAGGGTAAATCCTGTATAGTGATTAATCCTATATAGCGCTTGCATAAAGCAAGTAGTGCATACACTTGTAGCTGTTATGTATCTTTGTAAGTCATTGTAAGCCCTCTTTTGAGGCACGCGCAAACGCACAAATTTTATTTTATTTTATTTTTTATTTTAATACTTACAACAACAGGTAGGCCTCTATTTATGCTAAAGCTTAAGATTTTGCATTAATAAACCTTTTAAAAAACTTAATATAAACATTTCTATAATTGATATATAAAGCTTCTCCATGACTGCCATCAGAACTGTTCAATCAGAACAGCTCAGGTGTCTCCTTAAAGAGGAAGCTAACTGATTGTTTTTAGTTTAAAAGTGACTTTCTGTAATCTTTCGTAACCTAATGTTATCGTCATAACATTTAACAATGTTAAGTGATACTCAACTTACACATTATAAAAGTTTAAAAAGTAACACATTTATGATTTGGTGTCAATGAGAGAGTGCTTGTGCCTAGATTGGGTTGTGGAGATACATAAGACAAAAAAAAAGATCAGGAGAAACTGGCTTAGATGATATTAAGATGAAAAGACAGACTGCTAAGTATCTTTCTTTTTGCGTAACCAGGTGGTTGCTGCTGCTTTGTGCCAGAGCAGTGAGCAGCGAGCTTTCCTCAAACCGGCTGCCAAAAGAACTGCTGCCAATCCAAAAACAAGCTTTCATGATTGGTCTCCAAACAATTAAAACAAGCCCAAATGCTCTTGATTAATATTTAAGGCGTTTAACGAATCATTCAGCTGTAATTCTATCAGAGTTTCTTATACAGTGGGTACGGAAAATATTCAGACCCCCTTAAATTTTTCACTCTTTGTTATATTGCAGCCATTTGCTAAAATCATTTAAGTTCATTTTTTTTCCTCATTAATGTACACAGAGCACCCCATATTGACAGAAAAACACAGAATTGTTGACATTTTTGCAGATTTATTAAAAAAGAAAAACTGAAATATCACATGGTCCTAAGTATTCAGACCCTTTGCTGTGACACTCATATATTTAACTCAGGTGCTGTCCATTTCTTCTGATCATCCTTGAGATTGTTCTACACCTTCATTTGAATCCAGCTGTGTTTGATTATACTGATTGGACTTGATTAGGAAAGCCACACACCTGTCTATATAAGACCTTACAGCTCACAGTGCATGTCAGAGCAAATGAGAATCATGAGGTCAAAGGAACTGCCTGAAGAGCTCAGAGACAGAATTGTGGCAAGGCACAGGTCTGGGCAAGGGTACAAAAAAAATTTCTGTTGCACTTAAGGTTCCTAAGAGCACAGTGGCCTCCATAATCCTTAAATGGAAGACGTTTGGGACGACCAGAACCTTAGCAAATGGCTGCAATATAACAAAGAGTGAAAAATTTAAGGGGGTCTGAATACTTTCCGTACCCACTGTATATAACGAATATACATACTTCTCTGTTTTATACAGTATGTTAAGAGTAGCATGTCCGAATAAAACAGTAGGGAAAACATATCCAAATGACCTATTACTTCCAGCGAGATTGAGAAGTGTACATCCAATAGACACTTTAGCATCCCATGAGGCCACAGGAGAGGACTTGTGAAGAGCAATGAAGAGACGCAACTGAAAAATCAAATTGCGTTTTCTCTGATAAAAAGTGCAAATGCAATTTTAAAAAACCTGCCACATGCTATGGTATCAGGGGTCTGTCAAACCATTAAAATGTGATCACCGTGTAAAAAATGCTTTATGGTCTAGCAGCAAAGTGCCATATTGTGATCTTGGATTAAAACCAGTGTGTTGTGGTTGCGTGACTTGCTTTCACTGGCAGCCTTCATGTCCATCTGTGCCGAACGAAAGAGAGACAGAGAAATGGAGACGGGATTGAAAGAGAGAGAATCTGGGGGGTTGAAGAGTCAGGGGGCGAGATGTAACCTGTCCCCTGCTGAATGCTTCTCATTCCAAGCAGTGACTCCCCCCTCCTCATGGGCATGAATCACAAAGCTGATACGAGAGACTGGGGCCCACAGCAAGCGAGCCCAATCATACACTTTACCACCACTTTCCAAATTAGCACCTTGGGTTAGCACAGTTACACAACGTGTGGGCTTACGCTGCACACACGCAGGTGTGCGTGACTAGATTCATGCGCAGGTGTGTGCGTGATGGATATCTATAGGAGCTTTGAGCTTGCAGAAGCCACCTCAGATTGGCTTTTATCTGCTGGCCCAGCACAAAGAACGGGTTTTAATTTGAAGCCTCCTAATTCCATAATAATTACTGCCGGCTGCAGGGGGTGACGTGTGTGTGCGCGTTTGTGTTTGATGCCGCTGCGGTTGGGGAGGTTCTGCTGAGGAGAAAATTTAAGCAAGGAAATGAGCAGGGGAAATAGACAAAGAAGGGAAGAGTGTTGTTTCTGCAAGACTTCTTAAACTCAGCTGACAAGCTGTCTCGATGATTCTTTCCGCCACCTTCTGACATCCCACCACGATCAAACGCGCACAGTGGCGGAGGTGCTGCAATGATACCTCTTATGAATATGCAACTGAGGCTTGAAAATGCAAATAATATTGTGTAAATGTCATCTGGGAGGGTATTGCTTTGGTATCAGTTCTTGTGGTTACAGTAACAAGGTCAGGTGGCTCCAATATGAGGCTGGACGGGAACCATTTTAAATGCTAATCACTGAGACTTCCATTATAAGGCAAATTATATGAAAGCTCTAACAGAGGCTGGCGTACCTCGGGGAGAGGTAGGCAACAAATTGAAATGAACGGGCAGAGTTCCAGCAGCTGTCATTTGGCAGTTAAACGCTAGAGATCAATCAAATTGTATGCCCGGAAAGAGGATAAAGTCATTAAAAGAGGTTTTCCTGTTGACGCGCTCAAAGAAAAAACGCTGGGGAGCTTGTGGAAGTGTAGCAGTTTTCAACCTTGCTAAGTTTGAGAAGTCACAGATCATGTGGTATGATACTAGAAACTGCCAGAGCAGTCTGGCCATCAGATAGTTTGGCATCAAACTGAGGATCCCCTGATCGGCCCAATTAAAGCACATGCAAAAATGAGTAAATTCTTAATGACGTTCGAGTTAAAGAGAGAAGGGGAAAACAGCTACAGAAGAGAAGACCTCAGAGGACCTGCTTTCAGAGCAACAGCAGCATCACAGATCAGTGTATTAAACCCAAACGCAGCACCCTGGAGCCTTGAGTGAGCTCATCAGAAGAAACGCTTCATCTGTCTGTTGCTCCACACGTATTTTCACACTGGACACGAGAAGAGCCTCAAACAACAGAAGAAAGGCAGGGCGCTGAGGGATAAGATAGGTAGGTAAAAAAAGACTGCAGATAGCCGAAGCATTGAAAGAAGGTGGGAATGCTGGAAGAGCCAGATACACAGTAGGGGAGGGGAGCAAGAGAGCCTTAAGAGCAGATAGAAAGATAAAACGCAAGTACCTCTTGGATGGTGAAGAATGTATCCTGTGCCTGGGAGGGTTATTTTTTGGAGAGAGCTTCTTTATTTGAGTGTTTTCACTCAAAGGCAGTCATGTTTAAGTGGAAAACATGCAGACTTTTAATGTTGACTTAAGTCAAATCGCCTGGCATAAAATGAAAATTTGTGTTAAAATGAAATAAACTTATCCGCAATTCAAATATGTGGTAATTTGCATTTAGGCTTCATTTTTAAAGTGATAATAAAGGTGGTAAAGACAGTCAATCGGAGAATGGGCGGAGCTAGAGGCGGGGCCACAGTTCCTCCGTGCAGAAAAATCATTGGTCATAGGAAGCCAAACACTTCAAAGCAGAACAAAACTGCTACAAGCTGAGCCGCAGGGTACGGACAGTTACAGCGCAATGGACTTGATAGCTCAGAACAGGTTCATAAACTCTCACAGAATATTGACAACAGAAATGATTTTCCATCCATGAATAAAATAGGCTACAAATACTTAAAAACATTTTGAACATTTAACAGAGGGAAATTGACATATATAACGGAGGTACAACTTGATTCGACTGTGTTTGTTGAAAAGTACTGCATACAGGCTAGGCTACTCATATTTTAAATCTGCCATTTGTATTGTAGGCTACATAAGATAATTGTACCCAAACAGTAGGCTACATAATTCTGTACAGGGTAGCTTTATATCTACACAAGAAATGTATGTTTTTTTAATTAATTGTAATACGTCCAAAAATAGTTGAATTGTCGTAGATTTAATTAATTGTGAACCCAATTGTAAACCTTAGATAATGAGTTAACCTGAATTTTGAAATGTATTTTACGCCATTATTTCGTATTGATTTAAAATGAAAAAATATTGTAATACGTACATTTAGCCTACGTTTCAATAACACAGAATTATACTAACGTGATATGAATTTAGATTCTCCGCAGCCTCACACTTGAACTCAGATGAAAGTACGCGCGTCTGTCCGGCGATACTGGCGCTCTCCAGTGCTGCGGAGCAGGAGCGTCCCTCCCCTCCTCAAACACCAAGACCAGCCCGGCTTGTTAACCCTTGAACCATTCCCTGACTTAAACATGAGACCCTCAAAGACGCTAACAGCCAAAAAAAAACCCGGTTTATTTTAAATAAGTGTTTTAAAATGTCTTCTGCGCAATGTCTCGTAAGTCCCCAAAGTTGCTTTCGACACTTGCGCCCTTTTATTCTCCATATAGGTTCCAAGGTAACAGGTTGTTCCAAAAACCAAGAGAAAAGTAACCTATTCTTAATTTACTCCACGTTCAAACATACAATTTACATTTATACTCACAAAGTAGGAAGAAAGCCTTGTGATTAACAGAAAAAAAAACTTAGGCTTTTAATTATTTAGTAAAATCTGTAATTTTTTAAAGCATTATCATTACTACTTACCTTGCAGCGCAACAGCAAGCAAGGTGCAGCAAATCCCGAACAGTCCCAACATCGCTCTCTCCATAGTTACTCTCAACTTGGCGGCTTTGTTTCGCGTCTCGTCGTTGTGTTTCTTTGCAGCTTCTCGTCTCGGTGCAGCTCCTTCACCCTCTGCTCTGCTATCACGCTCACTCGCAGTAGTGCAGTGCGCTCCCCCGTCCTTCTTGGCGCAAGAAATCTGATGCGGATGGCAGTGACTTGGCTGATATATTTGCACAAAAGGTGACCGTGCGCCCCTCCCCTCTCCTCTCCTCTCCCTTCCCAAACGAGTAAAGTGCTGCTGGAGTGAACGCGTACGGACAAGAGACGAGATATTTTTTTACAGCTTATTGGCTAATTATTAAAAAGGGTGATGCATTGAATAACAGTGTTTCGATTTAATTTTGAAGGCACTAAATTAATCCAATAAGTCTTTTTTGGTGTGACCTCTAAATCTGAATGAACTTACTCTTGTACAAAACATATTGGTACACATAAAACATGGTGTAAATGTTGAAAATACAGTTGTTTTTATGATTGACAAGGATGTAGTGCAGTTTTAACTCTTCCACTGGTTTAGATCATTCATTTGTGTCCCTTTGGTAATAATAGTCTCTCAGTTCACACTGGGTTTCAAACAGGCGTTCCTGGGATAACTGGAGCAAAACAGCTGCTTCACATTTCTCAGGGCGAGAGTGGGGTGCACAAGAGAGAGAGAGTGTGTTATCGAACCCGATAAGAGGAGAGAGGCTTGGGAAATGGAATAGGGCAAAGTGATGAAAGAAGAGGAGAGAGAAGACAGGAGGGTGGAGCTTTTGTGTTGGATAGAGAGGATATGGTTTGATATATTCAGCGGTGTCATTTCTGTAACTTTGTGCTATTCTTGGGTCATGACAGCACAGCAATGTATTAAACTGCTCATCTCGTAACGCCAGAAGTGACTCTTTGCACTTCAAAGTCCACACAGACATTGCTTATGCACAAGCATTGCTTTACTCCAATGCCCAAAATCCAGTGCAAAGCAGGGAAAGTAAGGGAATAGTCATAGTATCCTTTAGGAGAGAGGGGTCAAATACCATCAGTTAAAGCCTGTTTTCAAGAAACGGCAGTACTGATAAGGGCTTGCTCTGGGAAATTTCATAAAAATAAATAAATAAATAAACATTTTCCAGTAACAGCTACATCAGAGATAAGGCAGATTGATATGAACAGACTTGCTGCCAAAGGGATAGTTCACCCAGAAAAGAAAATTGTATTATCATTTACTCACCCCCAAGTTTTCATGTTGTTTCTGTTTCGGTGGAATACAGAAGAAAATATATGAATTTTCACACAGCTCTACAGTACAAAAAAGACAAAATGTGAAATAGAATGTGGAGGTTTTCTGACCTTAGGCAAAATCCTCACTGGCTGCCCTCCAACTTTCCAGATCCCATTCCCAAATATATAATAAAAATAATAATATAAAATAATACAAAAAATATAATAATGAAATAAAATAAATAGAAAATAAATATATTTTTTAATTTTAGTTTTTAAAACTATTTTACCCCCACATTTTTTCTGCCTCCTTCGCCTCCTCTGAGAAAACTCCACTGGACAAAATTCACTATAAAAAGCACCAAAAAGTAGTGTGCACAAGCCATACAATAACAAACAGACTGAAACTTTATTCACTAATAATCGTACCACCACTGAAGCTCAATAATCTCAAACTGCTTTGATGTTATTGATGCCAAATGCCATTGGTCTCCTGTGACCAATCACATATAATAAAAATAATAATATAAAATAATACAAAAAATATAATAATGAAATAAAATAAATAGAAAATAAATATATTTTTTAATTTTAGTTTTTAAAACTATTTTACCCCCACCCCCCACATTTTTTCTGCCTCCTTCGCCTCCTCTGAGAAAACTCCACTGGACAAAATTCACTATAAAAAGCACCAAAAAGTAGTGTGCACAAGCCATACAATAACAAACATACTGAAACTTTATTCACTAATAATCGTACCACCACTGAAGCTCAATAATCTCAAACTGCTTTGATGTTATTGATGCCAAATGCCATTGGTCTCCTGTGACCAATCACAACTTGTCAACTGAATATGTGAATTGGATAATAAGATTGAAAGGAATAGATCACTCAGAAATGAAAATTCTGTCACCATTTACTCACCCCCATGTTGTTCCAAAATAAGAGATATATAAAGATTCTTCAAAATGAATACTTTTGTGTTCCACTGGAAAGAAAAAAATTATACAGGTTTGTAAAACCAGGCAAATCTACATTTATTTTATATATATTTAAATAGCAGTTATTGCTGTCAAAGCTGCTATGGCACAGGGTTGTGAGGTGTCCAGTCCCAGCCTGGACAGGAGAACATACTAGTAACTGAAACCCACTCTGTGACCTTTCCACAGCCCGGACTTTGCTCTTTGAAAACATCAGAGCCTTATGTTGACCCAGAATGTTTTGGTGATTTAAAGTGTGTGTGATTTTCACCAAAAGTGTCATTTTCCTCTAGAACAATGGCATCAGAAGTACACGGAGATGTCGGGTTGACGGAGGGATGTAATGATAAAATGATGAAAAGGGAGGGAAGAGGTTAGAAGAACTCTTTGATTCTTGTGTCAGGGTGTGACTAGCATGGGGCCTGGGGGAACATCGGGGATACAGAACAGAGGAGCGGAGAAGAGAGAAACAGAATGATAAATTGGGGCTTAAGGGAGAGGAAAGAGGACTGCACACCAGGCAAGTAAATCAGCAGAGAATGAGTAAAGACAGACCAAAGGGAGCATGGACAGAGTAGATGTACTGAATTTGATGTGCTTTTTAATATTATTTTATAGGTTGTTGTTACTTAAACTGCTCTCACACGCGTTCTCTAGTTTGTATTTGCCAACATCTTTTCAGGCAAGTTTTTGTTTACCCTCCAAATCAATTTGATCTCAACTAGTATTCCTGCAATTTTGTTTTCTGGTAGAACCGCTGAATACAGAGAACATGCTGGGATGAAAAAATCTTGTTATCAGAGATGGATTTTTAAAATGTCTCTTTTTATAGACAAACTTGGTATGGAAGCAGGGAAAATAAACCTATTCATAGTCCAAATGAACCAGTGCAAAAACACTGTGGGGGAAAAAAAAAAACCTCTTGGTCACTGTAAGATGCACAATATTGTTAACATCAGAAATACACATTGAGGTTAGAGTTTATTTTCAAATAATGTCCATTAAAAAATGGGAAAATGTCCATTAAAATATACAAAACAATCAGACTCGCAACAGGATGAACACAGCAACAATATTGCAGAAATATTACTCGTGAAGTCCACTCATTCTAAATACAATCAAAATCATAAGATGATGTCAGGTGTGTTTGCATGAAATATGAGAGCGGTTATGAGGTGTGATATAAGAGAGGAAGTTTCAGTTAGCTGGATGAGGAACCTGACAGCAATATTAGGAATTATTGCAATTAGACCATGCAACAATGTAAAAAAAAACAAACACTGGTTACCAGAACCACGTGTCATAAGCACGAATGAGTAACTCACACATAATACTGAATTTAAATCTAATGTTAAATTTCCTAATTTACTGTCTGTATTGTGTAGGGTGATACTGTACAAGGTTCCTGCAGCTGAGGGTTTAGTCAAAGACAGATCCTCCCTCTGCTCTACTTTCCAGGAATGACTACCACCATACTAAACCCACAGGCTACATGCATCCAGCCTTTAGATCTAGCCATAACACTCTGTCATCATGGTGGCACAGTGTCAGGATCCAACCCAAAAAGTTTGCATATTTGTGCCAGTAATTTCGGTTTGGCACGTGGGCGGACGTGCTGACATTTCAGCTGCAGGGTTCATCCTCATGGGGGCTTTCAGTAGAACAATACAGCCTATCATTCCTTCTGCCCACAGCCTGACTGAACATCTTTCTCTGCACATAGAGCTGATTATCCTAAACTATAGACCACACAGATCAGAGCTCCGTGTGTGTGAACTGACCTCAGCTCATGCCAGAGGTCAAAGAGCAACTGGGGAAGACACGGAAGGCGTTGATGCTCTCAATAAACACAGCAGATTAAGATTCCACGATGGAAACTCATGAACAGCCTCATTAAGCACAGTCAGTGTACAACAGGATTCATACGGCTCTGTGCTCATTTACGTTTACTGTAAACTGAGATGACTCACTCAAAAGAACTGTGGGTTTTAAATTCATTGCCTGTGAAACAATGCACCTAATAAAAGCCTTTGTTTAATACTCACATATGATATGTTAGAGGGTTTATATATATATATATATATATATATATATATCACTGTTTTTACTGTATTTATGATCATATAAACGCAGCCTTGATGGGCGTAGACGATTCTTTCAAAAACAAAAAAATTGTAATACCTTTTTTTCAGTGTGTACTGTGCAAATTTATGCGTTAAAACAAACACATTTATACATTTAAGACATATATATATATATATATATATATATATATATATATATATATGTCTTATATATATAGACAATATATATATATACTTATATATATAGAGAGAGAGAGAGAGAGAGAGAGAGTTCAGTCATGAAACTCTTCTGAGCAACTGATTTGTTTACTTAAAGCCAATTGCTCATCCAATCAGTTGTTTGTTCCTATACACAACCTATTCATTCCTTGACTTGTATCGAATCAGTTCATTGTAGCACGCCATATATATATATAAGACATATATATATATATATATATATATATATATATATGACTTATAGTTATAGTCAATATAAATTTAAACTTATAAATGTATATAAATATATATAATATATAATATATATATAAGTGTATAATAAATATAAACTTATAGAGTCAATATAAATATATATTACATATAGTTCTTAAATATATACATGCATGTGTGTATTTATATACAGTATAAATATAAATATACACAGTACGCCCACGTATATAATGCAAACATAAACTTTTATTATAGATTCGATTAATCACGATTAATCAATTTGACAGCCCTAATATAAATGCTTTTTTCTATTTTTTCTTCTTTTTTTTGCACAAGAAAACCATAAAATGTAAAGGTGTTTAAAACAGAGGTAACATACTTTAAACAGAAGCCAACTTAACCTCTTATGTAAAAACTGTACTGCAAACTTACCAGACATTAAATTCCA